TATATCCCCACCCCAGCTCTGGCAAACACACCCCTCATCCTATTTTTGTTTTTTACCACAAAGGCCCTGTCCATATGCCTTACCTGTGAGTCACCAAAATTAAGTTTTTATACCTCCCTTGTCATCCCTGTCTAGCTGTACTAACGTCAATTCGTCTATCAAGGGATTTGAACTTTGGGATGATACACTTAAGCTATTGTTGTCGTATCCTTGGTGTACTTCTTCACCACCAGCTTCGTCTTACTACTTGAGTTTTCGTCAGACACTGGCTCCCCTTTTTAACTTTGTAGCTCTTCCTTTTAATTTCAGGTTCTCAACGTGGCCCTCTCAATTTCTTCGCCAGCCTCGCCAATTCTTCCATGAGGTCAGAAGGCTTAATGCTATTACAGTTGATGGTGAATCAATGAGTGACCCTAAACATATCTTCGCTAGCCTCAATAGATACATGTATTTTCTAAGCTAGACGTGTTTAAAGGGATATTGGCAGGTACTTCTAAGGGGCAATGGTAAGGAGTTCATAGTCTTTCAGACAGATTTAGGTTTTCTTCAGTTTCGGGTTTTACCCCTTGGCTTGGTTTACGCTTGTGATACCTTTAATAAGCTTGTGCGCATAATGTTCCAGGGGATGAAGGGAGTGCAACATTTTTTTTTTATAAAAATAATCTGATAATGTACACTCATACCTGGGAAGACACAGATGTGTTGCAGGATGTGCAGGAGCGGTTGTTTAAGGCCGGGTTAACTGTAAAGTCTTCTAAATATTTTTGGGAATGAATAAAGTGGAATATCTTGGACATAAAATCCGTAGACAGTATGTGGCCTATGAGGGTCAAAGTAGAGAACAATATTAAGACAGTTCGTCCTAAAACGAAGAGAGAACTTCGGTCCTTCTCAGGCTTAACCGGAAACTAGCGGAAATTTATACCCCATTATGCTACTGTTGCAGCACCTTTGACGGAACTGACTAGGGAAAAAGAAAGCTAATGTGTTGGAATAGAGTGAAGCAGAAGAGAACTCTTTCAAGTGTTTAAAGGCCCCGTGTTTCTTCTAAACCTGTATTGATGCTGCCTGACCTGTCCAAGCTTTTCTACCTTAGGACCGATGCTTCTTACACGGGACTGAGGACAGTACTTCTACAGAAACAGGGTGATGTCAAGTGATCCCTTGAATATGAAGCAAGAAGATACTCTGTTATCAAACTGGAATGTTATGTCATTGTGTGGAGGGTACAGAAGTTTGCAGGGTATTTGTACGGAGATCTTTTATTCTTGAGACTGACCACAAGTCGTTAGCATATTTGGAATCTTCCAACAAACTTATTGGTAGATTAATGAGGTTAGAACTTATTTTGCAATCCTTTGTGTTTACTGTTAATGTTATAAAAAGCTATAATAATGTGGGTACAGATTTTTGGAGTCTCATTGTGAGCTGGTCGGAGGTACACACCCTATTAATTCCCACTCATGTTGGTTGCTGCCGGCTTTAGTGTGTGTTGGGCGATCTAGTGGACCACGGATAAGGGTGGTCTGAGCCCTGAAGGGGGACTGAGTGGCAGAGTCTCCAGCCACGGTGTGTTACCCAGGGAGTGGAGAATGCCCTGGCTGCGTGTGTACACCAGCCAGAAAGAAGACGGTACTGGAAAAGGGGAAGATTTCTACTTCCATTTATCTTGTAAATTGTCACGAATACTATTTTCTATATTATTATTTTAAGAATTTACAAATTCTGTACGGTGGCGGGATTTGAAAGTACCCACTGTTAAATGTAATCGTGAATTATTTTAGAATTATTTTATTATTATTATTATTATTATTATTATTATTATTATTATTATTATTATTATTATTATTATTTTATTTTTTATTTTTATTTTATTTTTATTTTTTTTTATTTTTTTTACGGGATTAGCCCACCAGAGCACCGATCAATAAGAACATGAAAACATAAGAATGGAGGAAACTGCAGCTAGCCTATTGGCCCATACTGGGCAGTCCCATTTACACCCAACCAATGACCCACATCAGGGCCTGGGGGCGAAAATATGATAATAATAGTAATGATAATAATAATAATAATAATAATAATAATAATATAATAGAAACAATTGAAACCCTGCAATTGTGTGTAAATGATTAAAAAAAATTAATTTTTGTTCGTTGTTTTGATTAACATCATCTTTTTATGATTACTGAAGAACCTGGACCCATAAAGTAAGGAAATGGGTGACAAAGACGTAACATCTGAATGACATATTTCCTGTTTTTATTCTGTTTTCGGCACTAGGGAGCAGAGGTCGGCTTTGGGTGAGTGCTGAAAGATAAAGACGATATTGCTGGTTTCTGAACTGTTCAATACTTTTCTTTTGTTTATGATAATGATCGTATCTATTACTTCATAACTGGTGGAGGAGAGGAAGGGAAATATTTTGTAATATTTAGCATTAAAGAAACTGATTTCTAGAGTGGTTTTGCGAAACAAATTTTTACATAAAATGACTGTAGTGCAACTACTCCTGGAGTAAAAAAATCAACTAGATGTTACTTTGAACAAAAGGCACCGTGAAAATAACCGGATCACACACACACACACACACACACACACATCCACATAGATGTTGCGGTTGAGCAGCGGAGGGGGGTCGCACCATGAGTTACTGAACCATACATTGTTTTAGTGGAATTGAAAAATTTGCGCATCTTATGATGATTCGTAAATTTTGGCGTTTCATACTCTTTATTGTTCCACCATTCGGTCCTTAGATTGCAAAGTTCGCACTGGGCCATCGCTTTCTTCTCATGGAAGGTATCAGCTTCGGTCCATAAGTGAGGGTTGTTCTGCCAGTCAGTGAAAGCAACACGTTTACTATTGACAAGTACGTTGATTTTCTGATTATTTTCATCGAACCAATCCTGGTGTTTTCTTTTGATCTGGTTTTTGTGATGACAGCCTCGAGGATACCCCATTCGGCACCCGGATTTAATTAAGTTGTTTGTTGTTAGGTTATTTATCAGCCTATCATTGAGCTCCTCTCTGGAAGCATGTTGTACCACTTGATCCTCCAGTCACTTGGTGTTAAAACCTCTTCTGGAGGCATGTTGCCTTCACCGTTTTGGATCGATGCAAAGGGAGAGTTTGGCTCTGACGAACCAATGATCCGTGTCACAGTGGTCTGAACCATATATTGGTTCGGGTGATGTGGACATCTCGGCGATCTCTTTCTCTGACAATACTGTAGTCATTGAGATGCCAATGTTTGGATAGTGAATGTTGGGAAGAACCCTCGAGTTTGTCGTCCTGCCTAAACAAAGTGTTGGTGATAGTTAGGTTGTGGGCAGCACACTTGCTGAGCAATTGGTAGTTGGGATTCACTTGCCTACTCTGTTTCTCCATATGGTTCTCTGCCATATGTCAGCATCTCTTCCAAATCTGGCAATGAAGACACCTAAGAGCACAACCTTATCTTCTCTGGGGATAGAGATTGCCACTCTGTCAAGGTCGATGTAAAAGTGCTCCTTGATGGCATCCTCCGCATCCAATGTTTGGGTGTATGCACTGATGAAGAAGGCATGACGTGAGTGATTCAGTGGGACTCTGAGCGTTATGAGGCGTTCGTTGATTCCAATAGGCATTTCAGTCAGCCTATGGAGGATTGATTGGTGAATGGCAAAGCCACCTCCATAAATGCAGTTTCTCTCTTCAGCAGTGCTTACCCTTCCAGAAAAAGGTATAGGCGGACCCCGTTCCGTGAGTCGACCCTCGTCTGGGAGCCAGGACTCTCTAATGGCTGCTATGTCGATGTTATACCTAGCCAGCTCTTTTGCCACAAGGGCAGTTCTTTTTACAGGACGCTCATTTATGCCAGTATCCAGAAGGGTCCTGATATTCCATGCAGTGACCATAAGAGGTTGTATAGTTTGTTTTAATTTTGATCTGTGATTATGATTATGTTTTCGACACCTTGGGATGACCTTATTGGGTGCGTTTGCCCAGTTACGTTGGTTGTTTTAGGCAGGCTATATTTAGGGCACCTTTTATAGCCCCCTCCCCATGTGGGGTGAGCAGAGTGGCGTCTGGAATGGGCACTAGTTTCTAGTGCATAAATGACCATCTTATCTGTGTCACCCATGTGCAGAGTTGTAACTAAAGAATTCGCAGCAGTCATCTCTGCCTGTTCCCATCGCCACTCGTCTGTCGCCATAGGACTTTTGGGGGTATAGGGGTTTTGATTATAATGAAAATTATGATGGCTGTGCGTGAGTTGATTTATTTGGTGAGGCAGGAGTGTAAGCTTCAACCACACTTCTTGGTTCTCCCTTTTCCTGATCCAGTGGTGCAGGAGGCTGCAACGACTGGGGAGAGGGAGAGTTGCAATGGACTGCCAATAGCCCATTTTGTTGGGTTTCGCCTTAATAGCCTGTCCATCTTGCATTGCCTTCATCCGCCAGTCTAGTCATTAGATTCCCATGTTGGTCACCTCTTCTGCCATTGGGGTTTTACTGGAGCACTGTAAGCATGTCTGCCTGATGCGGGACTCTACCGCAAATTTTTCATTTGCGGTTTCTTCCCGTAGCCTTATACATACCAAGGTTAATCCGCAAGGTAGTCGGGTAGTGGTTGGTAGGTATCTGGGCGTGCACACATGCCGGTCAGCCTATGCGCCGTCCTTCTGGGGCCCACTGCTACTCCGAGATCCCCTCCTGGTCTAGCCTAGGGTCACGATGCACCTAGTTATCGTGTGTTGCTACGAGGAGGCACAACAGGAGTCTTGATGGTGGGGAGGCTGTGTACTGGCAGGGGAAGATTTATTCACGGTTGCTTCCCTGTTCACTACGAGGACTAGCCAGTGGTGGTAGCTGAAAGCGAGAGGAAACAAACAGTGCCTGCACCGTAACACATGCCACACTAGACGCAGTACACCACCCTGTGCACACACACACATCAAATGGTGGTTACGGCATAGATATAGATACATAAAAATGCCTTAACATATATAAGGAACATTATAACCTTGGCTTACCTTGTTGTAATAATATACGTAAATAGATCAAAACGTCATCAGCGATTTTGTTATACTGATGGGATGTCGTGAGAGATACATATAAGGATATAAGAAGCACTATGGTAGGCATGATCAACAACGCCGTTAGGATAGTTGCCCACACTTGCGGCGCTAAGGGGAGCAGGAAGCCCCACGGGTCGATCTCCGGCACGCCTCGACCTCCCAGTATCCTCGCATAATCAATTACTATCGGTCTGGTATAGTCTACCACCTCAGCACGAACTGCAGTCACACCAAAGGGACCAAGACCGATGTCTATTTCCTGTGTTGACAGAAAGTATACATATATGGTGGATGGTTGGACAGATGGTTACACACAAAGGAGCAAGTACAGTACTACAACTATAAATATAACGAATAATAATGAAATATTGTAGATGTCAATACAAATACTGTTATAATTATTATTATTATTATTATTATTATTATTATTATTATTAATATTATAATTATTAATATTATTATTATTATTATTATTATTATTAATATTATTATTATTATTATTATTATTATTATTATTATTATTATTATTATTATTATTATTATTATTATTATTATTATTATTATTATTATTATTGTTATTACTATTATTCCTATTATAATTATTATTATTATTATTATTATTATTATTATTATTATTATTATTATTATTATTATTATTATTATTATTATCCGATAGTGAAATAAAGTATTATCGTTCATCACTCTTTCAATTAATTAACATATACAAAATTTGTCCAGGCCACAAGTATCGTTTTACATAATCCAGAAATGTTAAGCCTTCTAAATTCTCCAAACATTTCCTTAACAGTGGCATGTAACACCAAGAAAATATTAACCTCTACTACACTTCCTTCGTCTAGTACATCTGGCTTATAGAAGTCAATTGTCTGTTAACTCAAAGACAGCATCTACAGTATACAGTTCTCCTCTACCTAACTAAAGCTGCAACGACTATGAAGGACAGTGATGCAGATTTTTTTTATTTAATTTAATGTTTCTATTATTGAAATTTTGGCTCGATACTGCCGACTTAAAGTAATGTGTAATAAAAAGGCCTGGTTAAAGAGATGTTCGTAAAGAATATCAGTACTATAGCAATTATGTGCAGAATACTGAAGAAAAGGTCAAATCTGGTACAGTATTCATGACTTGAATCTTATATAGCAATATACATACAAGGAAGCAAACAAATATTAGTTTTTCATTATTTCAAACCTTATGCATGACATCGAGGTGTTTTAGGACGTAGATGATCTCTGCAATATTAATTTTTAGCATTTATCTTCGAGGGCACTTTATGCCAGTGTGAAAACGTAGCGTTATTATAGGCGTCACTACATTACTTATCTCACCTTCAAAGAGAACCTAAATCTCACTCCTTCACTGATTTAGACAAAAAAATAATACAACAATGTATAAGGGATTTTATGAGCTCACATTTGTTCCATATGACCCGTGGCCCACTACACTTATTACCTCCCTCTTCACCATGCCCACCATGCCCGACCAAGTTCCATCGGCCACCTTAGCGCCCCACGCTCCATCAGGAGGACGCACCATAGTGTACCTAAGTGGGCAAGCGAGGAAAATTGCAGATTGAAGATAGATGACTTGTAAACTAAAACAACTGATATATACACAAGAAGTTTGGTTGGGTCAGACTGAATAACACTCTTCTTACATAACCCGAGCCGGGGGGTATTAAACTAAAGTTCTGTAAGTTGAGATATATTCTTATGCATACAATATCCAAAGCTTACAACATACAAAGCCATCTGCATAGAATTCTAGTCGCACTTACGAGAAGTTTATGCTGGTTGCAAGTATGTGGAGGAGATTAAGCATTGGCCCGGTGAAGGTGACCTCTTGTCCCTGGGGTGTGTCCTGTGTTGACACTGCCGCATGAGGCTGGTACTCGTCCTCTGCCACCACCAGTCTCGGCTTGTGAGGAAATCTGCACGACCAATACGCGTTAATTGAGTCGTAATTGAAGTCAATATGATTATTAGTGTCGTTATGATTATTATCGTTATTACTATCATCATTATCATTATTACCTTCTGGTGTTTGGCTTCATTGCCAACCCTAATATAGGAATTCACCTGTGAAACTTGTCCAGGAAGAGGGAGAGGTGGGTGACGAGAGAGAGACCTCTTCCAAGTGTCCAGGAAGCAACTTTTATTGGCTTTGTATCAACGAGAGTGTATGGCAGCAACATGTATACACTGCACCTGTAGCAACCAGAGAACCTAAATACAACTGCATCTAATGGGCAGATTAATCGCCAGTGAAGAGTAATCATCAATAATACCTAACATATACAGCAGTACAGTATACAGTATTACTCAACTGCATTGATTTTTAATAATATCAGAAACACGGTTATTACTTCATGTTTCCCGAGGTATCGTCTACAACCAACAACATGGAGTTGGTCATGGAGAGTATCTTGTGTAGGTGGTGAAGCTCCAGGAGGGGCAGGCGGGTGACGACGAGGAGCCTCGTCGACCACACCAGGAGGTGGCCCTTGAGGGACCACTCGGCGAAGGCGGCGAGGAAGGCTGGGTCGTCGCTCACCACCACCACCGTCACGCACCATGACACCTGCCGCAGCTGTTGACGTCAACATGGTAGAAGTTATGTGAGAGTGACCTACCCGCCTCAGTAGTAATGTGAGAGTGACCTACCCGCCTCAGTAGTAATGTGAGAGTGACCTACCCACCTCAGTAGTGATGTGCGAGTGACCTACTCGTCTCAGTATTAATGTAAGAGTGACCTACTTGTCTCAATAGCAATGTGAGAGTGACCTACCCGCCTCAGTAGTAATGTGAGAGTGACCTACCCGCCTCAGTAGTAATGTGAGAGTGACCTACCGTCTCAGTAGTAATGTGAGAGTGACCTATAGTAGCAATGTGAGAGTGACCTACAGTAGTCGTGAGAGTGACCTACTCGCCTCATTAGTAATGTGAGAGTGACCTACTTGTCTCAATAGCAATGTGAGAGTGACCTACCCGCCTCAGTAGTAATGTGCGCGTGACCTACTCGTCTCAGTAGTAATGTGAGAGTGACCTACCCGCCTCAGTAGTAATGTGAGAGTGACCTACCCGCCTCATTAGTAATGTGAGAGTGACCTACCCGCCTCAGTAGTAATGTGAGAGTGACCTACCCGCCGAGCCTCGTCGACCACCCTGGAGAGCTGCGCCAGTGTCACATTAGCTTCCTGGCCGTCCACTGCCACCTCGAATACAGCCAGTCCCCCGGAGGCAGGCAGCTTACCAAGCATCTTGAAAAGAATAAAACAGAATGATGGAAATATATCAGAATTTATTGCAAAATTTTCTTCTTATGACAAATGAATATGAAAGAATGCTTATCAAATATTTGTAGCGTTGGAGACACTCACCGCAAATAGAGAGCGGGGTGAAGTGCTCCCGTCACTCAGTAGAATGGTGGAACAACGTCCATTTTCAGCTTCTGAAACTAGTGTCGCTTCTACAGCTCCGCTAGCTAAAACTAAAGTCTCCTGCCCTCCTGTTAATGGTGCAATGTAATAATGAATTTGATCAGGCATAACAACGTAATGACAAAATAAGTGTAATCATAAAATAAATGTGTATTCCAATTAAAAATGTATATTGTCAAACCCTATTCGAAATCACCTGGAAAAGCGCAAGTTAATCAGTGATTCCCAACATGGCTTCACAAGCGGGCGTTCATGTCTAACTAATCTATGAACATTCTTTTCAGCTGTTTTCGAATCAGTGGCCGACAGGCACGATTATGATGTGGTATACCTCGACTTGAGCAAAGCTTTCGACAGGGTCCCCCGCGAAAGATTAATACGAAAAGCGAAGGCTCATGGAATTGGAGGATTATATTCTAAAGTGGTTCAGGGAGTGGTTACTGGACAGGAAACAGTGATTAAGCATTAACGATACTAAATTCGATTGGGGTAACATCACTACGGGAGTAACTCAAGGCTCAGTACTTAAACCATTAATATTTATTATATATGTAAACGATATAGATATAGGCATAGACAGCAACATAAGTAAATTAGATGATGACACTAAAATAGGGCGTATAATTAAATCTGATGAAGACTCTGCAGAACTACAGGAAGATCAAAACAAAGTTTTTGAATGGTCTGAAAAAGGGAGATGAAATTTAATGTGGACAAATGTAAAGTACTCAGTATAGGAGATGTAAACAGAGAAACCAGATATTAGAAGAACAACTGTGAAAAAGATTTAGAAGTATGGTATGTAGGAATCTTAAACCAAGTGAACAACGTGTATTTGCTCGAAACAAGGTTAACAAAGTGCCTGGGTTCGTACAAAGGAGTGTTAGTTACAAGACTAGCGAGGTTATCCTAAAACTATATATTGCGCTTGTGTGACCTCACTTGAATAACACAGTTGATTTTGGTCACCTTACTACAGAATGGATATAGAATCCCTTGAAAGAATTCAGAGGAGAATGACAAGACTAATCCCTTGAGTACAGAGACAGGTTAAAGCATCTCAATTTGCACTCCCTCGCGAGACGTAGAGTGAGGGGCGATATGGTAGAGGTGTATAAATGGAAGTCAGGGCTGAACAAAGGGGACATTACAAAGGAACTCAAACTATCCAAGCAGGAGCGAACTTATAGTAATAGCTTTAAATTAGACAAATTTAGATTTAGGTGCGAAGTAGGTAAACATTTGTTTGTAAATAGATTAGTGAATGCGCGGATCAAGTTACCAAACATCATCATTAAATCGAATATGCTGGATTGCTTCAAACATAGGTTGGATGGATATATGAGCGGTCGGGGTTGATTGTAAATGGGACTGCCCAGTATGGGCCAATAGGCCCACTGCAATTTCCTCCATTCTTATGTTCTTATGTTTTAGGTTTATTGAGGTAATAATATAATTATTTCATAACAGCACCCAAAAAGACTCACTCACAATTATATATATATATATATATATATATATATATATATATATATATATATATATATATATATATATATATATATATATATATATATATATATATATATATATATATATATATATAAGTACAACTTTACCGTAAGGAGTTAGCTGTGAGATAGCTAGGATGACAGCATCAGCCAGGAACAAGAGCACCGTAGTCACAGACATCTCCACCGACAACCTCCTGTTGTGCAGAATATGCTCTTTACAAATTATAAATATTATATGTTATATTCACAGGTAGTTTGTAAAAAATAAAGTTTGTTTTGTAAGTCACATAAAACTCAATTTTGTATATTTTTGAGCGGCTGCCGATATTTATTGGTTGTTGCCTTTATCAAGACATTGTTGACACCGCCTTAATCCTTTCACCGTGTGTCACGTACTTGCCATTTTATTCTGGCTACCGTCAGACGATATTATTCAGCCTAGGGTAACTTCCCGCTGCGAAAGGGTTAAATACATCAGAAGCTGTTGTAAGAGTATATGATATGGAATATATAACCCCTATGCAGTACTCGCCGTTGAAAAGCTTTAAGAACCTAACCCAACCATACCCAACTTACCCTAACTTAATCCATTCTCTTAGGTTCATTGGCCTTAGGTAATTCACTCAACATGATATATTCATATAACTAACATCATTAAATTCATCTAAATGAACGTTATCATTAAATTTACAGTGCCTTGGTTCATTCGTTTCCCGTACAAGTATTGGATAACATTTCTTTTTTACTTTTATTTATTGAAGTCTGGTACACGATAAGACCCAGAGTACACACCTGAATTCCTTAACTGCTGAAGAGCAGTAATACACACCAACATCATTTGTCTATGCCGAGTATCATGGAACGATACATCTAGTCTGATTCATCAGCCTGACAAATTTATTTTGAGAATCATTGAATACATATTTGCTGTGTTTCACGGACGGTATCAGGACTCGAAAATGATTTTTCTTTCTAAGGGCACCAAGATAATTTAGATGTAACACCTTATTTTCCTTTTTGTTGAACGCATAAAGTGAATCATTTAATAATTTCATATCGATATTTATCGAGTCTATTGATTTTTTTAGCTTTACCTGTTCTTTGGCGTCTGTAAGACTGGACACTTCAACACTCTTCGGTGGTTTACTTACCTTTACTTACTCTTTTATCAAGATTTTCCGTCCTATTACTAGTATGATATTACAGTCATTGGCGCTATTATTATTATTATTATTATTATTATTATTATTATTATTATTATTATTATTATCAGTAGTAGTAGTAGTAGGCCTGGGCGGCGTGGGTGTGTTGGGGTGCCTTCCCTGATCTAATGTGTTATTGGTGGGGATATACTCAGTTTGTGGGAGCGAGAATTTCACAGTGTGTCGATGAATGTTGGATGTCACCTTGATCATCGTCGCCGACGGCTCTTCTCATCCCTTACGGCATTAAATGCAAATATTGCGTGTGTTCACCGGCGATCTTCAAGTAAGCCTGTGAGTGTTTGAATGGTCAGCGACTGGAGTTGCCAAGTGTTAATGCCAGTGTGTCGATAGGCCTACTTTAGCAGGGGTGGCATCGCGACTCTCGCCCCTATGGGGCCAAGTGCCTTGCGCCTGCGGTTGTTCCCCCCCCCCCCTCTCCGCCTTCCCACCTCAAGTAACGGCCACTTCATATAGTGTCGGCTGACCAAGTGAGTATATATAACTAATATTACATCAGTGAGACCATAGAAATAGTGGTTATCTCTGTCATGGTTACATAAACAAGTGTTAGGTGTGACAATTCTTGCTCCCAGTGGATTATTCTGATGTGTGGATTGTCGCCCACAGGGGAGGTGCCCGACACAACCGCGCGCGCGCGTATGCCCCTTCTACTCAGACACCGCAGGCCAGCCCGTCACCTCTGTGCCCCATACTTATAAGATCTAGTTTCTTCGTCTGTATGGGCCCAAAGCAGAGGTCGGAGGCGGAAGTATCTGTCGCCTAAGGTGCTGTTCACTATGCCTGGTAACATTTATTGCTGCGTCTGTGCTAGCCAGAACCAAAACTGCACAAATTGTGATTGTGCGAGAAACAACCGACCATGTGTGATTTGCAGGAAGGGAGACCAGTGTCGGAACCCACGTCGCAGGGAGCTGACACAGGTGGCCACAGTGGATATCGCCGGACCCAACCACCCGATGATATCCCAAATGATAGCAGTGAGTCTACTCAACCCGAAAATGTAGTACTAATAAATGCTGCTCCCTTAGTAGCAGATGTCCACGAGGAGAATGAGAGACAGCCACCTCAGTGGAATGGCATGTCGATGGAAAATGCAGACATATGGGTCAAACAAACCTACTCAGAAATTGTCAAGTGGTCGCCGGTTAACTTATTTGAACCAGCCAAGTGTGCGGCCACCGAAGAAATGATTCGGGAGATGACTCGCCTCATGACTGATTACACTCAGGACCGCTTCCTCGCCCCTTTAGCTCTTCAAATACTGGCAATAATACCACATCTATTTTTTCAGAGGACACACACAAAGACTAAGCACAAAGAAAATGTAGCTGCAATGAAGAGAAGATTGGCAATGTGGCAGACTGGGGCCCTTGATGATCTCCTATGTGAAGCAAGAACACTGCAGGAGAGACTAAAAATTACGGGTGACGGAAAGCAAAACACCGATGACGTGGCAAGAAAATTTGGAAACAAAATGCGTGTGGGAAAGTGTCTCTGACGGTAAGATCTCTCACAGAGGAATCCTCCGGTGGGGTTATGCCAATAAACAGAGAGATATTAAAACTACTGAAAGAGAAACATCCCCCTGCAAGTGATGAAGAAGGCATCAGGTTCGAGGGTGCCTATATCCCACCAAACGCTGTCCTGTTCGAGAAAAACAGGAGAGATGGTGTGGAAAAAGGCACTGAAGACTCGAGGAGGAGCCGGCCCTTCAGGTCTGGATGCAAACGGTTGGAGAGTCATCCTCAGCACTAACAAGTTTGGCCTGTAGCAAGCGATCTCTGCACTGCCATTGCCGCCCTTGCAAGAAAGCTTGCATCCTCTTGCTGCCATCACCTCCAGGCCCTGACGGCCTGCCGCCTTATTCCTCTGGAAAAGAAACCAGGATGTAGGCCTATAGGGGTGGGGGAAGTGCTGAGGCGGATCATCGGAAAATGTATAATGGAGGTGGTAAAGGATGATGTTAGGGCAGCAGCAGGGAACCTGCAAGTGTGTGCTGGCCACCAGGCTGGCGGGGAGGCCGCCATTCACGCCATGAGATTGATATTTCAGCAGCGTGATTGTGAGGCCGTTCTCCTGGTGGATGCTTCAAACGCATTCAACATACTTAACCGCAAGGCTGCACTGCACAACATCAAGATCAAGTGTCCAAGCTTTGCAATGTATGTTGAAAACTCGTATACGAATCCATCAGACCTCTATATAGTAAACAACAAGGCTCTAAGAGGTGATACCATCTTACGGTCGACCGAGGGAACAACACTGGGGGACCGTGTTGCAATGGCAATGTATGCAATTGGCCTATCAGTGCTCCAACAAGAAATAAAATTTGAAACAAATTGGGGTCAAACAAGTGGCGTATGCTGATGACCTTACAGGAGCAGGAAAAGTGGAGGGCATCAAAAAGTGGTGGGACTTGGCAACATCCTGAGGTCCACAAATAGGGTACCACCCAAACGCCAGCAAGTCCTTCCTCATTGTGAACCCAGAACATTATGAACGGGCAATGGAGGTTTTTGGCGGAAGTGAGGTCAAAATAACTAAGGACGGCCAAAGACATCTAGGCGCAGTAATTGGCACTACGGACTTCAAGACCGAGTACGTAGCGAGAAAGGTGAATGAGTGGGTTAGTGAAATCCAAGCTCTGTCTGAGATTGCTAACACAGAGCCACATGCAGCTTTTGCTGCATTCACCCATGGAGTCAAACTTCGTTGGAACTACCTGATGCGTACTATCCCTGATATCGGACCCCTCCTCCACCCTCTGGAAGAAGCTATCAGGGTCAATTTCATTCCCAAATTAGTGAAACACCCTTACTTAACCCCAGCAGAAAGAACACTTCTTGCACTTCCATCAAGACTGGGAGGGATGGGACTAACCAATCCAGAGGAGATTGCAGCCATCGAACATCAAAATTCACTTAAGCTCACAGCAGCCCTCACGGACCACATAATAGCCCAGAACGCAACAGGGGAGGTGGATGCCAGTGAAGTAAACAAGATTCGTAGGTCCATTACGACAGATCGACAGCACTGCCAAAATGATAAGTTGCAGCAACTGTTGCTGCAGGTACCAGAAAATTTGAAAAAAAAAAAGCCATAGCGCAGGAGGTGGGCGCCTCGAACTGGTTAACTACGTTACCGATAAGGGCAAATGGTTTCAGTCTTAATAAACAAGAATTTACAGATGCCATTGCTCTAAGTTACGGTCGGCCAGTAAAAGGTTTGCCCTCCCAATGCGAGTGTGGCTCTTCCTATGACGGCGATCACGCCATGGCGTGCAAGAAAGGGGGCTTCATATACATGAGGCATGACGAAGTAAGGGACCTCACAGCAAATATGTTGAAGGAAATCTGCCGGGATGTCATGGTAGAACCGACCCTCCTTCCATTGGATGGTGAGATCTTCCAACATAGGACTTCAAACACATCTAACGAAGCTCGTGTTGACGCCAGTGCTCGAGGATTCTGGACGCAGGGACAGCGAGCTTTCTTCGACATTAGGATTTTTGATCCCACGGCCGCATGTCACCGTAACCTAGCTCTCGATGCTGTACATAGGAGGAACGAGAATGACAAGAGAAGGGCATATGGGGAGAGAATTCAAAACGTTGATCAAGGTAGCTTCACTCCTCTAGTGTTCACAACCTCTGGTGGGATGGGACTAAGTGCAAGATGTTTCTACTCCAGACTAGCGGAGGTGATCTCCGAACGGAAGCAGCAGCCCAGAAGTTATGTTACAGCCTGGATGAGATGTCGACTGTCTTTCTCTCTCCTTCGGTCGGCTTTGCTCTGCCTCAGGGGAACGAGAGCTTCTGCCCCAATTCCTCCAACTGCTGCAGATATTGACTATGAGGATACAGTCACTGAATGCCCCATAGATGTGCGGCTCAACTAACTCAACACAGCTAGGATGGCTACTTATGTATTAGGATATTTAATATTTAGGTAATAAAATGGTGGCCAAGG